GGTCACTATATGTATGTACGTCCGTCACACTCACTGGTCACTATCTGTATGTACGTCCGTCACAGTCACTGGTCACTATATGTGTGTACGTCAGTCACACTCACTGGTCACTATATGTATGTACGTCCGTCACACTCACTGGTCACTATATGTATGTACGTCCGTCACACTCACTGGTCACTATACCAAAATATCATACTCTTTTAGGACAAACATATGTCATTGTTGGTAATTTGTATTATCGATTAAAAATTATGAAGAAGCATTAGTTCATTTTGAGAAAGCATTAGAAATACAGAAACGTTCACTGATACCCTTTCACCATGAACTTGGCTGTACGATGTGTTTTATCGGTTGCGCTCTGAAAGTTTTAAAAGATTATGAACAAGCTGATCAATATTTTCAAAAAGGAATTGTGATTTTTCGAAAAAATTACCCTAAAGGAAATGTATTATTAGAGAAAGCCGAAGAATTTGCTCAAGGAAATGAAAGACTGTTAAAACAGGTATAGAATCTGCACAAATCTGCTCTTAGTTAGCTTATTTAAGCTTTTTTTTAGTTCGAAAAAATAATGTTTGAGCAAGACACAATATCAATCACTCACCCTTGGAACTAAAATGCTGCTAAAAGTTTTTTCCTCTGTACACGACTTATATAAGTTTTAATTCTAGAAATAAAGATGTCAGCCGATCCGCTGTGCCGCCGTCGAAAGAAGCAAAACGTTATTCGCCTCCGCGGACATTTTTATTAGTCAGCACCTCTACTGATCATGAGATGGAAGATGATTTTTTTTCTGTTTTAAGAATAAAGCTTTTTTACAAGTGGTTTACAATTTTCCGGATGTCCATGAAAAAAAAATTTTTTTAGACATACAAAACGCGTCTTTTGTTCTTTTTCACTTACTTTCTTCTTAATAGCTAACTTTATACTGCCGCACTAGAAAACATTGTATTTGTTTTTTCCGTTCTCCCAGAATAGACTCCCAGAATAGACTTTACGCATGTTGCATGACACAAGAAAATTGTTTCCACCTAAACTTTGATTGATCATTTTACATAAACTCAACCTTCTCATTATAGTCAACTCTGTTCATGATTACCACTATCCTACACTGTAAAGTAGAAAATATTTTCTAGAAAAAAAAATATGATTTTCAAAGAGTCTATACAGTAAATCGATCCAAATTTTCTATTTTTTTGAAAATATGATTTTCTAGTTTTGGGCCTTTTTTTATAAATGTTTCATCGATTTTCTAAAAAATGTTTCCGTTTTTTAGAAAATTAGATGTTGATTTTCTAGGAAATCCTAATCAGTTTTAAAAAAACGGGTAAATCATATTTTCAAAGAAACAGAAAATCGAATACGATTGTCTGAAAATCGGAATCTATTTACCATATGAACTCTTTGAAAATCGAAAATTCGAATTATTTTTTACAAAGCAGATGAATTTCTAATTTTACTTGCATGTTTCTTTTTGTGTACTTTGTAACTAGTTAACTTGATTGAAAACAGTACAAAATTAACAAGCTAAAAACAAATATAAAAGTGCTCAACGGGTGAAGCAATAGCATCACAGAAGTCGCACAGTGGGCAGTTTTCTATAGAGCAGGCGGACATATGCTGTAGAAGTGATATGAAAGCCTATAAACACGTTTTTCTATAGGTTTTCGAAAATGCTCTTTCTAATGATGAGATTTGCAGAACTCAAAAGTAATTCCTTGTGGGTTTTCTGGAGATCGGATCTCTGGAAAACCCATAAAAAGAATTTTTACGTTTCAAAAACCTCACTATTGGAGAGATCATATTCGAAAACCTATAAAAAATGTGTTTATAGACTTGTGTACTATTGCTAAAATAAATATCCAAATTCCTAGCAAAATTTCCTGCGGACAGGCTTTCAACTGTATAATTCAGTTTGACCGAAAATATTTAATATCGTTAATGAGTTTGAGACTTAAATTTGCATCCCTCTGAGAAAACTTGAGGTTTTGTCCCCTTTCGTTCACTGTAATCTTTCGAATTTGATATATTCGGATTCCCCATCAAAAACTGAGTCTAATCGTGTACCATTGAGTCACAAAAACTAAAATACCTGTGTGGCACATTTCTGACAAGAGTAAGCACTCTACAAAATGCGCACCCTCTCTCGCAAACCTATCTCCTCCCTGGTTTCGAAACTTTTCTCCGATCGTCATACGCCATTCGAATCACCATTTGAAGGGCAACAAAAGTACGCATCGCTTTTAAAAAAAAGTTCTTTCCTCATGGAGAAAAGTAGACTTTACTGGGAGACATCGAAGCTCTGACCCTAATTCGCGATTTTCTCAATTAGAACTCAATTTTCACGCAATGAAAATATCATATTCGGAATCAGCGTCGAAAATCGAGTCGAATGATATATTTTTTTATCTAATTCGATCACTTTAATTTTTGGATGAAAATCTCAGTTCTCCCAAAAATAACTCATAGGAAAGTTATTAATCGGTGCATGCCTGATTGAGTTATACTTTGATTCAAAACGGGATATAGGGCATGTGTCTGTACTGTAAACGTAGACTGAACTCAAGCGACTCAATAAGCAATAATATTGTGAAACCCAATACGTTGGGTGACTAATATTATGGGGACCCAATATATTGTACCAGTGCATGCCTACTTTCCTATGAGTTATTTTTAAGCTTGAAATAACCAACCATTTTATTTTTTGCTTTGGCAATTCAGGAGTCAAAGACGATTATTTGTTTTTTATTTATTCCCCAAAGCAAAAGGAAATTGAATAACGACGAAATATTTTTTGTTAAAATCGTTTTTCTAATTTAATCCAAACTTCATTGGGTGTAATGACAGATTTTTCTGTAATTTTAAAATTTTAAAATCGATACATTCTTATATCCCAGTTGGCATAAATAGCTCGATGGGGATATGCTTCCTCACATTTTTATGAATATAAATGATGTTAAGGTTAAAAGTAGGAATCTAGTGTATTGTGGAACCCAATATTATTGGGACCCAATATACTTGAGTACCCAGTAATATTGTACAGTATCTTCAGTAATGATTGGTATTGGTGCATGCCTATAGAAAAGAGACAATAATGACTTAAAAGTATTTTTCTATCATACAGTGAAGAGGTAGATATGCTATCATAAATAATAAGTTTAACTTATAAATTCTACGCATAAGTTTACTAGAATAATTTTAATATCAAACATGCCACAAACAAGCAAATCGAGCAGACTAATGGGAACCTCGAGTCGCAAATTCAATCGTCCTGCTGAATTAGCAGAGATGCGCTGACAAACAGTACAGGAGTTCACGGTCAATTGAAAGGTTTAACATTGAAAAATAAAATGATAGTGATTTCAATGGACACTGAATCTTTATTTTTCTCCTGTTTTTGAAAGATCCCTGGACAACCTGTTATCACGAAACATTTAACGATACGCCAAAGGCATTGTTCTAAAAGCAAATACTTCAATCGAGAAGTTCGAAAAAAATCGAAGTTCTCCAAAAAAAACACCTAAAGGACACGTCAATCGATTTAGTTTTGAGTGCTGATTCCAAATATGGCACTGCTTTTGCAAAAACAATGAAAGTTTGATGCCGAAAGCTGCAAAATACGGCTGCATTTCCTTGTTTTTTGTTACCTGTTTCAAAAAAAATTAATTTTCTCAACAAGAAAACAATATTTTCCAAAACTGATGCTTAACTTTTCCGCTTCCGAGGCACTACGACATAAGTAACTTGCCCTAGGTTATTACATGACTTTGCTAGTGCCAATGTTCGAACACAGTATCCTTGAATTGCGTGACGAACAACATATCAACTAAGCCATGTAATCTCATTCACGGGAGACTACTCATCGACTGCACTCTCATTCCATCAAAAGACACTTAAAATTCCCGAATTCCTCCAAATCATCCAACACTGGCTGTTAGGTACGGTAAGATAGGTCTCGTCCATCACCTGGCGGGAGATTAATTGACTGCACTCTCACTCTGTCAAAAGACAGTATGTATTTAAAAAACTTTAAAAATAGTGTCATCCGTCGACCGTAATCCAAAAATAGTAGTCAGGATCAGATTTGACGTCCATACTGAACGCCCCGACCGCCACAAATTCATAGGTCAATAGCGTTCATCGTCTATATTGTCCAGCCAACTTATCGTTAACCACTCCACTTTATGTATCATTCGATAGACAATTTCATGGGCTACAAAACGATATACATAATATTGAGAACAAATTGGGTCTGGGTGTCCTAACATTTTGTAGCTCCTGAAATTGTCTATCGAACGATACATAAAGTGGAGTGGTTTACGATAAATTGGCTGGACAATATAGACGATGAACCAAGGGGGAAAAACCTCACTTTAAGTGTGTGCACCTCCGAGTTAAGTGTCACTTTAAGTGTTTAAGTACTTAAGTGTCACTTAAAGTGGTTAAGCGTCATTTCAAATTCCGCATCTTTCTGGAAAGTCAAGAATTCAGCTCTATATGTTTTGAGATCTGAAATGTATGAACTGCAGCTGTTCCACGTCATACGAGTCTGTTTGTTTTCATCATTTTAATGAACAAAGCTAGAAAGCAGCTACAAATGTCAGTAAAAAACCGAAAACTAATAACTGTTTCTTTCAGTATAAATCAGTCGGTTTAGTGACCAGACAACAGTTATTTTTCTTTCTTTTTACTGTTGTTATTTTACTATGTATAGACGGGCGATGGATTTATCACAGCCTTTCTCTTTCTCTATTGCTAATCGTTCGTTTAGTTATGGACGCTACTCACTCGAAATAACGTCATCGAGTAACGTCTCTATCTTATTCTTTCGTCTGTTTTCTCTCTTTTCTTTCTATACATAATTCTGATAATTTTACTTGAGAACAATTAAATAGTTAAAACAAAATCGAACGTTTAAAGTTGAACAAGGGCAATTATCAAGGAAGAACATTAGTTAGGCATTAGCTGCCGGCCTAATAGCCCTAATACATGCATGTGCATTAAAATGTGTACGTGAAAAAAGGTCTCATATACCTCTGGACTTCTTTTTATAAAGCAACATAAACATTCAATACCACGCAACTTTTGAGCAAAAAGCGAAGTCTGTTACTTTTTCTTACCGTAAGGAGGAAATATTAGCAATCACTACTGCTAAAATCTTGTTCAAACAGAAAAATAAACGTGACACTTAAGTGTCACTTGAAGTGACTAAGTGACACTTAAAGTGACCGTCACTTATAAGTGTGTGCACCCTTTTAGGAGGTCGTTTCCCCCTTGCGATGAACGCTGTTGATCTATGGATTTGTGGCGGTCGGGGCTAGTATTTCTAGTGTTAGGACACTCAGATCCAATTTGTTCTCAATATTATGTATATCATTTTGTAGCCCCTGAAATTGTCTATCGAACGATACATAAAGTGGAGTGATTAACGATAAATTGGCTGGACAATATAGACGATGAACGCTATTTACCTATGGATTTGTGGCGGTCGAGGCTAGTATTTCTAGTGTT